TTCCATACTATGAACAACTCTACCAACCACTACTGCCCAAAACTGGAATGGCAAATTCTTCCTAGGTGGCAAATTTCATATCTCAAGATATTCAAGTCAAAGCTAGATATCAAATTATTAGGACTGCTGACACGACTGTTGCATGAAATAGGAAGATGAAATAGGTCAATATTTCCCAATACTAAATACTATAAATATACTACACAAACTGGATCCATTGTCAACCTTAGATACAAGGAAGGAGGTTGAGAGAGGCTATTCAGGAAGAGGGATGGGATGAAGAAAATGAACTGGAACAAACACTGACTCTCTGGCTGGAAATACTGGGTTAAATGACCTCTAAGGTTTAATTTAAAGATTCCAAAATTCTCAAACTGTTTCATAGATGATATTTTAACTATATTCCTGGGAGAATTTTCCTATTTTAGTTGTGGAAAACTAGAACATAACACCTAACGTAAGTGGTAAAATGGGAAGAGAATTCAGGCATCCTTTTAGATGTTTGATCTCGCTGCTTCTTTTCAACTGGTGAGAAGGAAAGTTGGGGAAATGGAAGATGGAAATGGCCTTAAAGTTGAAACAGATGAAAATCAAGTCAACTGCGGAGAGCAGTAAAATATCAGCTCAACTATGGTTCTAGAGTTTTTTTCCCCCACCTGTACTGGGGATTGAACCCAAGGCCTTTACACTGAAATATATCCCTAGTTTTTGTTTGTTTGTTTGGTTTCTAACTTTTTATTTTGAGATGGGGTCTTGCTAAGTTACAAAGTTGCCCAGGCCAGGCTCAAATTTGCAGTCCTTCTACTTCAAACTCCGAGAGTCCTGGTGTTACAGGTATGTACCATGGCACCCAGCAAGATTTAATTTAAAACACTTTAAACACTGTGTACAGCAGCATTCCTGATAAAGCATACTACAGAGTACTCTTACTATCTAAAGATGGACCCAAGATAACATCTGAAGCCAATGTCTTCTTTAATGGGGCTCCTAGAAGAAGAATCTTTGCCCTAATTAATCTAGTTATTGTTCAAGTAAAGTTGATCATTTGGCCTTTGGATCAATAGATTTATTTGGCCATATGTGACCAGATTACACTGCTGTTTGTTTCCCCAAGGTTTCTAAGCCACAAAGAAAATTTCCCTTCCAGTGGATATCAGCTGGCAGGACAATTCCAGCCCTACTAAGAAGGTAAAAACCTTATTACAGAAGGAAGAATCACTTTGTAATATAGATTTTACTGGTTTTCTATATAAAAGAGAATTGGACTTGAATCAGAAAGGAGCAAAACCTTCTGGCTGGTGCAGCACCTGATACTGGTAGATGAGAAACCAGAGACTGGTGAGTGACTCAGCCCCCCAAAACAGGAAGTACCCAGGATCACAGTCAGTCCTTCTAAGAAAATGAGGAAGAAGCACAAGGAATAGGGGTGAAGAAGAAAATACTGTACTTATGAAAAATTTGGTGTTGTCCTAGGGAAAATCTTTTCTTGGCCTACAGGTCTTAGAGGAAGAACAAGTGTGGTAGTCCATGAATTGGCACAAAAGTAAAAATGATTGCTTCTAGTGCCCCCCCCAATCTCACAGTCCTCTGAGAACATCTCTGTCTGACCCCAGATAGGAAAGCAGTGGTGAAGCTGCCCCAGATTCTGTGCTCCAGGTGGAGAAGGCCTCAAGAAGGTGAAGGAATGAGCTAATCTGAGCTCCATGTCCCCATTTCCAAGGATGTGATTAGTGGAGAGGCACCTGGGACCCGCTCCATTTTAGGAAACCCGGTTATGGGAACTGGTGGGGGACAGTCTTTGCTCGGGACCTGAGAGAAGCAGTTAACCCTTTCTTATTGTCTGTATGGGATCCTATTATATATATGGGAAAGAGCCTATTTTAGTAGTTACTTGATTCTTTCTCAGGGGAGAAACTCCTCAAATGGATTTATTTTACACTGGCCTGGTAAGGGGGAGTTCAGGGATATTTTCCACCTAGGTTTCTAGGGTCACTTCTTTAGGGCATTTAATTGCTCTGAGGGAGTCTGAGAATAAGGTATGACCTAAGAAATGTCTAGGAATGATACACACAGAGCAAAAGCAAAAGACTGTTCAACAGTTCCTAAAATGTCACCATTTCTCTGGTAGCATTGCATACAATGTTCTGATTCTGCTCAAACCCTTTGGGTTAGAATCAATCTGGGATTCTTGAAGTGGGTCTCTTCTGGCCAGGCAGGGGATTTCTTCTCAGAATAAACAGAATATCCAAAATGGACATTTAACAGTAATCTAATTCCTGAGGTGGTTGGAGGAATGGGAACAGAATCAATATGCACCCAGTCTAAGAACTGGGGGGAACTGGCCCCCTGACGTCACTGTTAATACTCTATAGAGGCCAAGGCTGAAAATATTTAGAGCCATAGCCAAAGGCTCCTTAGTTGACCTGGTTGACCAAAACGACCTTAACCTTGGGCAGGTAATTTAATTTCTTTGGACCTCACATTTCTTCATCTAATGAAGATAACTGATCATCTTTACTGTCTCTTCTAACTATAATATTCTATTGGTTTTAATAATTTGGAGTCCAAGCCAGGTGTAGTGGCACATACCTATAATCCTAGTACTTGGGAGGCTGAGGTAGGAGGATGGCAAGTTAGAGCTCAGTCTGGGCAACTTAGTAAGAACTTGTCTCAAAATTAAAATAATAAATAAATAAATAAAGCTCAGAAAGACCAGCTAGGGTCTAGGTTCAATCCCCAGTATTTTTTTTTTTTTGCAGTCCAATAGCATATTAGTTACTAGCCGCCCCCCAAAAGAGATTGGGGGCACATATTGATGGATGAGGAGCTATGGCTCACCTAAGTCTTAGTTTGTGGGAAATAAGGGTGTCTACATTCACTAGCTCCTTAGTTTTTGATAGAGGAGTTGGCATCCCATGGTAATATCAGTTGTTTATACTACAGAACTCCCAAGCAGCTAGCCAGGTCACATCCAGGTGATCCAAGACACACAGGTAGCAGCTGAAGGGAAGTGGAAAGAGGAACTAAGAGATTTTTGTCTGAGATTCTGGCTCTAACATTTACAAATGGATTGTCATACAACCTCTTCTTGGAACTTTATTTTAATTATCTGTGATACAAACACCTCTCTTACAGGGGAGGATTATGAAAGATAAAGAAGAACAACTGAAACATGGGGTTAATGTTCACCAAATGTCAAGCCCCAGCTGGGTGTGGTTGTGCATAATCTCAGCACTCTGGGAGGCCAAGGTAGAAGGACTGCAAGTTTGAGCCCAGCCTGGGCAAATTAGTGAAGCCCTCATTCAAAACTAAAAATAACAATTTAAAAAGCGGGGGAGGGTAAAAAGTCAAGCCAACATTAATTTGAGTCTGACTAAAATGATAGTGCTATGGAAGTCCTGATGGTGGGTCCTCACATCATAGGCTTACTTCACTTCTGCCTATATTCAGTTGGAAGAGCGCTGTGTCCCTGCCACCCTCAGTTAGGCCTCCCTTCCCTGTTGGGTAGTTTTGGATGTTTTCTTGCCCTTTTATGCAGGAGGCTCATTTCAAGGGCAAGGGCTGGAGCCAGAAAGACCAGCTCACCTGAGGTGCTTTGCCCTTGGCAACTATTTCTCCACCCTTTATTCCCAGTGCCATTCTCAAGGTGGAGTATATCTGCTGAGCTGACACTTTCAGTGGTAACTATTTCAAAGAGTCATCCTTGATACCTTGGTTTCTCACCTATCAAATAGTGTAAATACTTATTTTACAATGAGACTGAAACAATGCATGTCAAGAGCCAACAAGGTCGTTCAATAATGACTCTCCGTTTGGCAGCTCCTCTTCCCAAAGGGGACAAGACATAGTGAAAGAAGAGAGTGAAAAGGAAAGGAAAACGTAAGTGATTCCCGACATACCAGCTTTCTTATCAAATCAGACTGTTATGATGAATTTTCCAGCCATCTTTCTCTAATGGGTCCCCTTGTGAGAGCACCTGCAATGGGGAGGTGGGACAACAGCACTACACAGACTGGAGAAGGATATGATTCAGGTGTCTAAAGACAAGTTCTTTGGAGTAGCACCAAGATTTTGGACTGGGCAGGCACTCTGCCAACTCTGCAGACTGTTCTGTCCAATCCTGGCTTCTTGGAGCTGGAGTGGTAGAATTTTTCCTGGAGGGAAAACAGCCGACACCCTGTCCCACCCTCCTCCTTGGGCAACTCTGCCAGGAAGGAATCTCTCTCACTAGCATTTTCTTTTAGCTGCTCAATTAACAAGATACCAGATAACAGGCAGTTGTGGGCTTAAACCCCTCTTGGGACACGCGGGAGTCCTTCCAACTTCCTTCCACCTGGAAATCGCCAGGGCTGCTTCTTTCTCTGCACATCAAGTGCGTTTAAAATAAAGAAAGGGCCGAGTGGGGTGGAGGAAGCTTCTAAGACCTTCCTGAGGAGGGGGCAGATTGAGGGAGAGCCTTGGAACAGGTTGTTAGATAAAACCTGGGGCGTCCGGTTTTTACATTTCAGATGAACGAACACGTTCTTAGTATCTGTCTCAAACATTGCGTGTGACATACTTATAGGGGGAAAAGTCGTCGTTTATCTGAAATCCAGTTTCAAGAGGCCACCTGTATTTGTTGCATTTGCTAGGTAGATCTGGGAACCGGAAGCTGGCCTAGGGCTTTTGGGCAGCCCTCGCAAAAGGGGAAGCCATTTGGGGGTCACCACACCCTGACCTCGAGACCTCACCTAGCTGAGGAAAAGCCCCAGGAAGAGCCCCTGACAGTCACAGCACTTTAAAAAGGCTGAAGGCTGCGTCTCGGCACGACCGTGGGAAAGTCGTTGGGAGGAGTCGCAGCCTGGCCTGTTTCCAGCTAGCTTTCCAACACCGGCCGCCGCCGGCCAACTCCGCCGCCCGCGCGGCCCGCCCACCTGGCTATTAGAGCAGGGCGGTTCCGGGAACCAACTCCAGGCCAACGGGCGGGGGGCGGTGTCCAGTGCGCAGGCGCAGCACGCAGTGGGCAGGGTAAAAGCGCGCGCGGGCTGGATGGTTCAGTCTGAGCGTCCTGGCTTGGGCTAGAAGCGCGTGTGGAGGAGGAGCCGGTGGCCACCTTCGGGTGTTTCAGGAGCGCGTAGCTGCTGTTCCTCTAGCGGAATGGAGCGGACTGCCTTAGCTGTCTGCGAGGTGATGCGGGGAAGAGAAGCAAAGCGGAGAAAGACAGTTTATGAGGAGGCTTTGCTGGGGAGACCGCAAAGTTTGCGCACACTTGTCCGGCGTTACCTGACGTGGAGGAGGAAGGCTCGAGGGAGGCCAGGAGTGGGTGAAATGAGCCTGCCTCTTTAGGGTCTGTGAAGGAGTGGTGCCTGAGAGCCGGGGCCAGGCAGCGCTGGGCAGCTTGCTGCCGTCCCGTGTGAGGAACAGCTCAGGTTGGGGACATCACCCACCCTAGAGGGGACAACGCTAGGAGGGGTCTGGGCAAGGGGACGCGGGTCATCCAGAGTATGGTGCAGGTCCCTGGTCCACAAGCAGCTGGTCTGTTAGGGTGAGATTCAGAGGCTGCACACTGAGCCATCGAGTCTGAGATCTGTTCTCCCCTTTGAAGATGGTGCTTTGCACCTGTCTGTGTTAGTCCCTTGTAACCCCCGGCAGCCATTACCTAATGGGATGTTTAGCAGCTGCCCTTGTAAGGGAGTGTGGGCAGGTGAAATAGGGCCACAGGCCCTGAGGTCACCTAACAGTGTTCCCAGTCCTTCTTTCTTTGTTACCATTCAAGAAAGTTGGAGGGTTCTGTTTTACAGATGTGAGAACCTAGGATGGAACATGAGGGCCTGACCTCAATAGGCCAGTGTTCTTTAACTGCTCTCATTCTGGATAACATACACTGTGGGAAGTCTGAAGAGGGAGCAAAGGAAGTCAGAGGATGCATGAAGAAAATAGACTGTAGAAATGCCTGGAAATTATCTTGATAAATTCTAGTACAAATTAGGATCTTAGTTCCCAAGTTCTCTTACTCAGATCTGTCTTTTAAAAGAAAAAAAGGTAATAATTCTTGTGTCATAGTGTGGTGGAAGTGAGAGTCTACTTACATGAGTAATGAAATTATATATATTTTGTGTCATTAAGATTGCTTTATTTGGGTATCTTTTTTGTTGTTGATCACTCTGTGGAGCTCTTTTTCTTTTCTTTTTTTTTTTTTCACATCCAAAGGTTTATTTACTTGACAGAAATACAAAGTGATATGAGTGGAGAGAGACTTTGGTTAATGAAGTTTAAAGCTTATACACTTTTTTTGTTTTTTTGAGATAGGGTCTCACTATGAAGTTGGCTGGCCTTGAACTCACTGTGTAGCTCAGGCTGGCCTCTAGCCCCTGGCAATCCTCCTGCCTCAGCCTCCCGAGTGCTTGAATTACAGGCATGGGCCACTACACTTGGCTAAGCTTATACATTAAAAAGCTGTTCAATACTACAATCATCACAAAATGCATCAATAAAATCACAATATATATATTTTTTGGTACCAGGGATTGAACTCAGGTCCTTGTGCTTGCAAGGCAGGCCACCGAACTGCTGAGCTAAATCCCTGGCCCCTTACAATATATTTTTAATCTTATTATAAAGACAACATTTTGATTAATAAACCAACAACTCCTCTGGGAAACTTTTTCCCTATTTATCATTTACTTTGCTCTTTATTTATATTTGGGTTTCTCATACAAGAGAAACCATGTGATATTTAAACTATGTGCCTGATTAACATTATGATCTTAAGGTGCATCCGTCATCCTACAAATGACTTATGCTTATCTTTTTTATTGAGTTTATTGGTACTTTTTAGGTACACAGTACAGTTACATTCATTGCTGGGATCTTGTACCTTTACATGACAGGTCTTGGTTCTCATTTTTTCCTCATACCCTTGCCCTCACTTCATGCCCTCCACCCTCCCCTATTTATAAAGACTTTGTTTCCATTTTTTCCTTTTCTCATATTTTTTCTTGTCTCTTATTTCCTTTCCCCTACCCTTCCCACTTCCCCTGCACCATTAGCCCTTTTCTTCCTATTTCCCATTATCAGTTATACAATTTGGATCTTACTTACACTTTTAGTTTTTCACACCAGAGAAGCTAATTCGGTATTTACACCTGTGTGTCCTGTTTATTTCACTTAAGAGTATGGCCTCAATATGAAAAATATGGACTGCTTCATGAATTTTCATGTCATCCTTGTGCAGGGGCCATGCTAATCTTTGTATCATTCCAATTTTAGTATATGTGCTTCTGAAGTGAGCACATGCTTATCATTTAGGTAAGAGTAGTACTTCATTATGTATAAATGCTACATTTTCTTTGTCCATTCATCTGGCAACTTCCAGGCTTTAGCTATTCTGAATTGTGTTGCTAGGAACATGAGTATACATATATTACTTTAGTACACTTTTTTTTTTTTTTTTTTTTTTTTTTGGTACTGTGGATTGAACTTGGGTCCTTGTGCTTGCAAGGCATGCCACTGAACTGCTGAGCTAAATCCCCGGCCCTTGTCTTTAACTCTTTTGGAAAGATATATAAGAAGGGAATAACTAGGTCAAAATTGCTTAATTTAGTTTTTTTCTTTTGAGGGTACCAGAAATTCAACTCAGGGCCCCACGTTTGCCAGGCAGGCACTGTACTGCTGAGCTACATCTCTGGCCCCTTGATTTAGGTTTTTTTTTTTTGGTACCAGAGATAGAACTCATGGCCTTACACTTGTGAGGTAGGCACGACACCACTGAGATATCTCTGTGGCCCTTGGTTTAGTTTTTGAGGAATCTTCTATATTGATTTCCACAGTTTGTACTAGTTTACATTTCCACCAAGAATGTAGTAGAAGGCTTTATTTTTAGCCTTACCAGCATTTATTATTATTCAGATATCTTAATCAGCTTAAAAATATTGTGTTGTCTTTACTGCAGATGGACTTGTTAGAACTTAGCAATTACTACATGCCAAATGTACTGTTAAGCATCTTACACATATTTGCTTACTTTTTTAGTAGACCTATGTAGTATGTTTATCCTTATTTTTTTAGACGAATCTGGGATACAGAGAGATTAAGTAATTTGTCACATGCTAGAAATTGGCACATAAGGAATTCAAACCCAAGCATTTGCCTCCAGTACTCAAATAATAGTTTGACCCTCAGAAATGTTGATTTAATGAAAGGTAAAGATTATTCATAACCAGTTGTCACTCTTACTCAAGAGTCTTCATGTTGGCTTCTTTTTTCTGCTACTGGGGATCAAAGTCAGGACTTTGTGCTTGTGAGGCAGGCGCAGTGCCACTGAGCTAAATCCCTGGCCCTCTTAGGTCACTTAACATACTATTTAGACACCATTCTATGCTCTGAACAAATGTAAATCTGATATTTCTTAAGCAGGAATGCAGTATTTGGGGGGAATTCAACTCGTTAATTTTAACTGTATCATACAAATTTATTACTGTGATCTTAAAGATTATTTTCTTTGGATTATGCTCCTTTCAGATTTTGAGATATTTAATAATTCACTGGAGATGTGAAACAGAAACATCAAACGGAGCTCTCCTAGAAGGGCAGCTAGTCATTTCCATAGAAGCATTAAATTCTAAGCACCAGCCAAATGCTCTTCATTGTGTAACAACTAGTAAGTAGAGGAAGAAAAATTATTTTCTGTTTTCTCTGGTGAATTATCATAGTACACGTAAAAATTTCAGTGAGTCATAATCTTTTTTTCCCATAATCTTTTATTATATAGTTAAAAAAATCAGTGATTAATAATCTGGTGATAGATTTACAAATGTGTCATATGGGGAACTTACATATGAACAAAATGACTTATCAAAAGGTCATATTACTGGCTTTAATTAAGATGCTTAGAAACAATTTTTTTTTAAAAGACAAGCTCTCACTATATCATTTAGGTTGGCCTTGAACTCACCATGTAGCCCAGGCTGGCTTTGAACTCTAGTTGATTCTCCTGACTCAGCCTCCCGAGTGTTGGGATTACAAGGTGTGCGCTACCACACTGGCCTAACAGTTTCATTTTTGCTCCTAGTTTAACATATTCTTTCATAGCAAAATTATGTTGAGTTTTTACATACATTTTCCTTCACGTCCAGATGTTTACAGTTGCATAAAAGGAGAAATAAATAAAGGAAAAGGAAAATAAATGACATGATGAATAGGGCATTGTTTGATAACCTTACCTGCAGTTAGAGTCTTACTCTGTTACATTTTTATCTGTTTTCATCAGAGAAAACCAATAAATTTTTTTTGGTACCAGGGATCGAACTTGAGTCCTTGCACTTGGCGAGGCAGGCGGCAGAACCACTGAGCCAAATCCCTGGCCCCAAAAAAACTGATACATTTAATGGCTCTGAAACAACTAGTTTTCTGGAACTTGTGAACTTCTAGCTTTTTTGTCTGATAGTGTGTATGTTTGTGTGTGCAAAAATTCTTTGTAATGAAGTTGTCTCATTAGCCTTAGAGGAGTCACTTAGAGACCCAGTTGATATTGGATAGCACATTGAACTCTAAGACATTTGCTTACCTAAACTGGAATGACCCATCTATTCTTTGTGTGTAATATTAAACATTCTCCAGAGTGTGATAGCTTGGTTTGCTGTTGCTCTGACTGAACCCCACTGTAACTGGGCATGAGTGAAATACTTAGTTACATGTCTAGGATGTCATTGGTTTGTATAAGGTTAAATCAGGTACTGTATTGACTTTGATCCAATAAACTGCCAAGGATAGCAGGGTTGATTTCACTTAAAGCACATTTGGGTGACATTTGCTTCTGGCAGGAAATCCAACTCTATATGCATTTTGAGCCTAATGAACTTCTTCATCCCATTTAATATAGAGGGCATTTCTCTTTTCTTTATTGTCTCTGCTCTCTATGTAATTATGTTTATAGTTTTTTTGGGAGGAGCAGGAAAAAAAAGGTGATTACAATATTACAAAACATAACATAGAAACATCATGGAGAGTGAGACTTTCTAGTTTTTTCACTTCTTGAAATGACTATTATCATTCAGTACACTTACAGATTTTTCTATACATATGTTCAGTTATCAGTTTTTAAAAAATGCAAATTAGAGTGTAATTATGATTTTGTCATGTGCTTTTTAGTAAAATGGAGTAACATTTCATATTAAAATGTAGAGATCTTCATTCTTTTGTAATTTATAATAATAATAATTATTATTTTGTAGTACTGGAGATTGAACCTAAGACCTTTGCACTGAACTACATTCCAGCCTTTCTAATTTTTTTTTTTTTTTTTTTTTACTTTGAGATGTTTTCACTAAGTCACCCAGGCTGGACTTCAACTTTCAGTCCTCCTGTCTCAGCCTCCCAGAATTACAGGCATGCGCTGCAAGGCCTGACTTGTTCTTCATTTTTGGCAAAACAAAAAACATGAATTTATTTAGTTTTAGGCTTTGTCAAGTCACACATACACATAGTATGTATGTATGTATGTATGTACTGGTACTGGGGATTGAATTCAGGACCTCGTGCTTGCCAGGCAGGTGCAGTGCTGCTGAGCTACATCCCTGGCCCATTTATTTATTTATTTGTTTGTTTATTTATTTAAGTACTGGGGATAGAACTCAGGACCTTGTACTTGTGAAGCAGGTGGCAGAACCACTGAGCTAAATTCCCAGTCCCCATGTATTTATTTTTTGAAACAGGGTCTCGCTATGTAGTTCAAGCTTGTTCTGAATTGATTATATAGCCTGGCTGGCCTTAAAGTCCCAGTGATCCTCCTGCTTTAGCTTCCTGAGTGCTGGGATTATAGGCATGCACCACCATACCCTACTTATATACACGTGGTTTTAAAAAGTGAAATAGTAAAACTTGGTAGAAAATGTACAGTTCCTTTCATGTTCCTACCTTCCCAACTTTTTTCATCCTAGAGGCTTCTGCTTTCAACTCTTTTGGTTATTTCTAAACATGTTTATGTTACTATATCTTGATTTTTCCTTTTTTAAGGCATTATGTATTTGTTGACTTCCCATTATAATGATAGCTCCCTCTCATATGTCCAACTCCACTATATATCTTTTCTTTAATATAGTTATAATTTTCCTATCAAAATAAAGATCAGTATTTACTCATTATGACTATAAGATACTGTTCATAGTTTAACCATATAAAAACTGTCATTACCTTTGCTTACATTTTTCCTTCAATTAAAAATTTTGTAATTTATTTTGTTTTTGTCAACTAGTCAACAGCAGAACTTTCAAGATTTGTGTAAATCTACTCCTAATGTATTCCAACACAGTTGATTGTCCTTCAGTTTCATCTTTCTGAAAAACTTTTCCAGAGTTTTTTGACCTGCTGTAATCTTGATTTGATACCTTCTGTATCTAGCCCACAGCTGTCATTTGGGCTCTTCCCTTCATCATTATTCAGTGTTTTAGTTTTTCTCTTGTGTTGGATTTTGTCTTTCCTGAATCTTGCTTTTTTTTTTTTTTCTTGGAATATGCCTTATTTTGATAGATCTCAAGCTCTAGTAGCTTCTCAAAAAAAAAAAAAGTGTTGGGCAGGTAAATTTCTTGACACCTTGAATCTCTGTAAATGTCTACATTCATGACACTTAATTTGATAATCTGGCTGAGTATATTATTGTAAGTCAGAAGTCATTTTTTTCAGAATTTTTGTGACATTGAAACATTGTTTTCTAACTTCAGGTGTTATTGAAAATTCTAAAGTCTGATTGCATTGTGTATAACTTATCTTTTCTTCCTGTAATCTAATAATGATCTTTTAAAATCTTTGTATTAATTACAGTAAATAATGGTAGGTGTCATAACAGATAAACCCTGAAATCTTAATGGCTTAACAGAAAATGTTGGGCTGGGGATTTAGCTCAGCGGTTCGGTGGCCTGCCTTGCAAGCGCAAAGACCCGAGTTCAATCCCTGGTACAAAAAAAAGAAAAAAAAAAGAAAAAGAAAATGTTTACCTTTCCTTTTTTATAGTCCTTACCCTTTGTTTCACCAGTCTGAAAGATCCAAACTATTTTTGTCTTGTGGCTTCCTTCTCTCTTTGGCCCTCTTAGCATCCTCTTATTTAGCTAAGAGTGGGGGGAAAAGAGCAAGGTTTATAAAGCAAAGATTTTCATAGAGTAGGCTTGGAAATTTTGTATATCATTTCCACTCCTGTTCCATTGGCTAGAACTTAGCCTCATTGGCACAACTGCCCTTCAGTTTCAGGGGAGACTGTTAAATGTAGTCTAATTGTGTGCTCAAGAAGAAGAGAGCAAAATATTTATAAGTACCAGCAGTCTCTGCCTGTGGTCCTCCTTGTTCTGAAAATTCATGTTGAAGTTCCTTGCTGTTGGTGTGTTTTCATCCATTTGTGCTCAGTATTTAATGGGCCTTTCAGTGAGTAGATTCATGTCCTTTGGTCCCGGAAAAAATTCTCTGGAATTCTATTTCTCTTTCTGCAACTTTTATTATTTAAATATTGAGCTTCTTACATTGGTTTTATTTTTTTAAATCTTTTCTATTTTCTATTTCTTCAGCTTTCAATTTCAATTTCTTCAAATTTCTTTCAACTTTTTGATTGATATTCTCATTTTTGCTATCACAATTTTATTTTTAAGGGCTCTTAGCCCCCTTTCTTTTTTTTTTCTTTTTCCGTACTGGGGATTGAACTCAATTTTGCACTTGTGAGGCGGGCGTGGTACCACTGAGCTAAATTCCTGGCCCAGCTCCTTTTCTTTCTTTTTTTGTTTGTTTGTTTGTTTGTTTGTTTTTCTGGTACTGGAGATTGAACTCGGGTCCTTGTGCTTGAGAGGCAGGCAGCAGAACCACTGAGCTAAATCCCTGGCCCTCCAGCTCCTTTTCTTTATGTTTCTGTTTTATAGCATTTTTTGTTTCAATAACTTATTTTTCTGAGTATATATATTTTTCAAGTTTTTTCTATCTAGTTTCTATGTTTTCCTCTTTTTTTTTTTTTTTTTTTTTTTTGGTACCAGGGATCGAACTTGGGTCCTTGCACTTGCAAGGCAGGTAGCGGAACCACTGAGCTAAATCCCCAGCCCTAGTTTCTATGTTTTCTACTCAGTTTGATTTCTATCTTTCATGCTGGAAACTTCAGATATTTAAAAATTCTTGGTTGTCCATTTTGAAGAGTTAGAGACTATAAAGCTGATGTTAAAACTGTTAACATCACTGAAGGATGATCTAATTGGGCTTTTTGTTTTCTCTTTAATTCATTAAGTTTATTGGTACATTTTAGGAATACAATATGATGACATTCATAATTGGGAATTTGTACCTGTATTTGGGCTTTTCATTGAGGAACTCTATCTTCTCTTCAATATCATTGTCTTTTAGGTCTTTGTTTTTGGCATGGGTAGAAGTTTAACTGCCTGCATTTTGGGAATGAGAGGATCTAAGAGGGATGCTGATGTCCTAGGGTTAAGTATTTATGTTCACTCATTTGCTTGTTTTTAGTACAACTTTGGTTCTTATCCAAAGTTCCCAGCGGCCCACACTTCTGCCATTATAAAAGAATAACTTCTCCCTTATCCTGCACCAGTGGAGGGCACCAGGAGGGCCAGTCCTGCAGTAGAGTGCAGGAGTTTAAATTCATTTTTCAACTAACTCATCTATTTTAGTTCCTAC